AGGGTTTATGAGGGTTTACGAGGGTTTACGAGGGTTTAGAAGACTTCTGGAGGGTTTGTGAGCGCTCATTAGGCTTTATAAGGGTTTCCGAGGGTTTACGGCGGTTTATGAGGGTTTAGGGTTTAGGGTTTTGAGAATTTTTCATCTGTACACTTCTCTCCGGGTCTCCCATCCCCCTTTCCCCTTTGTCAAAAAGCGCCCCAAATCCCCAGCCTTTAGGGTTTAGGGTTTAGGGTTTAGGGTTAAGGGTTTAGGGTTTAGGGTTTAGGGTTTAGGGTTTAGGGTTTAGGGTTTGCGCAGCTGCGGGCGCGCTGCTCGAGCCCGAGAAACTCGCCCTCGAGGCTGCTGACGGCGAACGCCTGCGGGTGTTGAGTTCTGTCTTTCGATTTTCGTTGGAGACTTTTGTTCCTTTTCTTTGCCTCCGCCACCTCGCCTGGAAGGCCACTCGCCTCTTCAAACTCAACCTCCGCTGGTGAGCAGCTAGCTAGCTAGCTAGCTAGCTGGCTAGCTGGCTGGCTAGCTGGCTGGCTAGCTGGCTAGCGGGCTGGGTAGCTGGCTGGCTGGCTGGCTGGGTCGCTGGCTGGCTGGCTAGCTGGATAGCTAGATAACTGGCTAGCTAGTTAACTGCTAGCCAAGATGCAGCTAGCTAGCTAGCTAGCTAGCTAGCTAGCTAGCTAATTGTCTCTTTTTGACTTCATTCCACACCCTCTTACTTGGCTGTTTTGTTTATTTAACGTCTTTTTATTTATTTATTTATTCATATATTTATTTATTTATTTATTTCTGATTTATTTCTTGTCTATTTCTTATTTATTTATTTATTTGTTATTTATTTGTTCATTTATTAGTAATTTATTATGTATTTATCATTATTTATTTATTTAATTTATTTGTTATTTATTTGTTTATTTATTATTTATTCATTACTTATTCTTATTTATTTATTTATTTATTTATTTATTTATTATTTATTATTTATTAATTAATTTATTTGTTTTTGCCTTCAGGCTTTCTTCAAATGAAACTGCGAGACTTCTTCCTCTCATTTGCGCCAATCGAGTTCTTCGTAAGATTTCTTTTTTTAATTTTTAATTTTAATTTTAATTTTATTTTTTTAATTTCATTTTTAATTTGATTTTTATTTTTATTATTTATTTCACTTTTAATTTCGTTTTTATTTGTAACTTTTATTGTAGTTTTATTATTATTTATATTTTGAATTTAGTTTAAGTTTTAAATTTAGTTTTTTTATAATTAGTTCTTAATTTTGATTTTTCTGAGTTTCTTCTTCTTAGCTTTTTTGCTTATTTGGAGTGTGCTTTTTAATTTTCTTTTTATTTTTATTTCCTGTTTAATGATATTTTATTCAATTATAAATGCATTTTGCTTTTTATTTTAATTTTATTCAAATTTTCATTTTAATTTTTAATTATTGTTTCTATTATAATTTTAATTTGAATTGTTTTTTTCTAGCTTAAATTACTCTTCAAGAATAATTACTTTTGAATCAAATTTTTAATTTTTAAATTTATTTTGATTGCATTTCAATTTTAATTATGTTTAATTGCAATTGTGTTTAATCATTCAATTTATTTCGACTTATCTTTATTTCATTTGTTTTATTTAACTTTGCTGCTGCTGCTGCTGCTGCTGCTGCTGCTGCTGCTGCCGCTGGCTCTTCCAAATGCTGCAAATTGCGTATTAAAGGATTTCCCTCCCCTTGATAAATTGATTTCCAATTAATTTCCAATTAATTAATAATCAATTAACAATTAATTAACAATAAATTGGCAATTAATTAACAATAAATTGGCAATTAATTAATAATTATTTGTTTATTTTATTGCTTTTTGTCTCTCAGTGACAGAAGAAGAATTAAGTTTTTTCATTCAAGTGCTGCTCAAAAGAGTCTCTCGAGTGTCTCCTCTTTACGCCGAGGCGCAGCGGCTAAGTGCAGCAGCAGCAGCAACAGCTCTTTTTGCTGTTGCACTCAACGGCGTCAACCCGAGTAAGCTGACAGCAGCAGCAGCAGCAGCAGCAGCAGTAGCAGCAGCAGCAGCAGCAGCAGCAGCAGCAGCAGTAGCAGCAGCAGCAGCACCCGGGGAGTCTTAGAGAAAAAACGGCAGCAGAAACAGCTCTTTTTGCTGCTGCACTCAGCGGTGGAGTACCCATGTAGGCTTAGAAACAGCAGCAGCAGCAGCAGTAGCAACAGCAGCAGCAGCAACAGCAGCAGCAGCAGCAGCAGCAGCAACAACAGCAGAAGCACCCTAGCAGCAGCAGCAGCAGCAGCAGAGGCAGCAGAAGCAGCAGCTCTTTTTGCTGCCGTCAGAAACGCCTTCAAATCCAGTAAACGCAGCAACAGTCAGCAGCAGCAGCAGCAGCAGCAGCAGCAGCAGCAGCAGACCTTTATTTATTTATTTATTTATTTATTTATTTATTTATTTATTTATTTATTTATTTATTTATTTGTAGAACTGTTTGGAGGTTTGATAAACCATTT